TTGCCTCGAGTACATTCCCTCACATTCTGAGCTCTTGCTGCAAGTGCTGCATTGACTGTTATAAAATAGAAATGGGTCAGGAGATAAAAACATCCAATATTTTTAAAAAAAAACAAACACAAAAGACCTGTTAAGGTATACCTGTAGATTGGCACGTCGGGTAGCAGATCACTTGACAGTGCAGCCAAACCAGTGAGCGTTCTTGCAGCAGTTGTGCTTACTCCACTGTTAAGAAATTATTATTAGAAATCGTTAATTAAAAAGTTAATATTTTCCTTCTTCAACAGCAGCTTTGAACTACACGGAAAGATTTATGGCAAAGCCTCTAAGCTGGTGTAAATTACTGAAATTCCTGTAAAAGCAAAAGAATTAATACTGGCTAATGATCTGCCCCTACAGTTATACCACCTGGATGCTGAGCCGTAAGATAGAGCTCAGCCTGTGTTTTCCGAGATTTGCCACAATTAAGCAGTTTAAAGATTCTTCAGGTTGAAACTTGGGTATTGCTACCGAGGTTTTTAGTTTTCCTCCCTGTGCATTTTCCTTGGTGATAATCGGGAGGATATATCTGGATTCACTTAAAAGCACAACCCTGCTGTTCACTGGGAGGTTTCTGCAGCATCTGGCTCCAGCCCTGTCGACTGGCAGGGATCAGACCTCGGAGAGGGGAGGGGAGTTCTGCTTGCTGTGGGGCTTCACGGTCGTCACGGGGATGTTGCTGTGGTGTCATGATTAAAAAATGTTGACTTTGGTTTTGTTGGTCAATACTGCAAAATGATTCCTGACATTTCTGCTGTGTGTGTTTTGGGGAAAAATCTGTTTCAGTCTTGGACTGTGCTTTTAATTGGAAAAAAAAAATGCTTTCCATGTGAAGAGCTTGTTTAAGATATGTTTAATGTATTGGTTTGTTCAAGGAAATCTCAGGAAGAAAAAAGGATTAGATTTAAGTATTGAGTTTATCAAGCAGGCCTGTGTCTGGATTAGATTATAATTGTCTTCCATTCAGTTACTCAAATATTTTCCTGATCACTCATCAAGAATATTACATTTTCCCTTCTTCTTGTGGTTTCTTTTTTCTTCCTTGTGGCTGGAACTCTAATTTTTCTTCTGATAAAAGCTTGTGGCTTTCATTTAGTTTGCTTACACTAACTGAACAGCACACAGACACTGAGATGTTGTCAGCTTAATAACTATGAAATAAATCCATCCGTAACATGCATGGATATGGGTATACACAGGAATCGGAGCAGAAAGTTGTAATTAATGTCACTTAATACCTGGATCTGGAACACAGCAGCTGGAACACAGTAACTGACTGTGGTTACTATTCAGACATCGTCACCACTGTTTTATCTACACCAGGGCTGCTGGAGCCCAGCAAGCGAGATGGGGCAGGGCACGAGTTCTGCTTCTGAGCCCCGGCCAAGGCATATGGGAAATGCGTGAGGGCTGCCCAGGCCTTTGGGAAACACTAGTACCCCTCTGTGGTCACTGCAAAAGAAACCAGTTTTCATCATGCACTTGCACTCAGGCTCTGGTGTGGGATCAAGAAGGAAGCAGGACAGAAATTCATCTAGTAACTGGCACTTCTGTAGATCTAGAAAGAGACGCAGGCTTTGAGACCCACAATGCCTGACCTCTAGGAGTCTTTGGCTCTAAAAATGAATATCCTGTTTGTCTCGGCAACAAAATGAGCCTGTATGGATTTATCTAAGTATGACAGAAAAACTCTAGTATTGTGGTCCTCAAGCAGTTGGGTAAAGCCAGCTACTTCACAGATTCACAGAATGTCAGGAGTTGGAAGGGACCTCGAAAGATCATCCAGTCCAACCCCCCTGCCAGAGCAGGATCACTTGCAGTAGGTCACACAGGAACGCATCCAGGCGGGTTTTGAATGTCTCCAGAGAAGGAGACTCCACAACCTCCCTGGGCAGCCTGTGCCAGTGCTCTGTCACCCTCACAGTGAAAAAGGTTTTCCTAATGTTTTTGTGGAACCTCCAGTGTTCCAGCTTGTACCCATTGCCCCTTGTCCTGTCACTGGACATCACTGAAAAGAGCCTGGCTCCGTCCTCCTGACACTCCCCCTTGACGTATTTATAAACATTTATGAGATCTTCATTCTTCCAGCCTCAAGCTCTTTAGTTTGTTCAGAATTTATTGTCTTCCTTTTTTTTTTCTGTAGATAGTGACAATATTGGTTGAGTTTTATGCTGAATTCATTCTCAGTGTAGGTTAGGACTGATTAGAGCCTTATTGTCAAATTATATCTCAGAGAGAACTCAGTGTCTGCATCCTGCCCAATTTATGACTCTATCAGGGTTAGATGAGAAGTGGGTGCCAAGATGCAAAGGTCTGCTATGGCAACAGCAATTAGGAGCATGCACAGTAGCAAAACCTAGAGAATTTTACTGGAAAAATCTGTAGGAGAACAATCATCTTGGAAATAAGCAACTCTTCTTTTCCTGAGACTGGCTTTATTATCAAATACAGTATCTTACTTTTTGCATGCTTTTGCATCAAGCTGTGGCCTGTGTAAGCATTTCATTTAGTGAAACGGAGCTGCTCATTTCTTCTCTGGCAAGGTATGAAATGAATTGCTGCTATGCCCAGGAGGCAGACTCCAGACCCGTGTCGTTGTTCTTTGTTGATCAGTCAGTATTGCTGGGCCTAGTGGTACCCTTGCCATTTACATCAGAAGTTGGACTGAGCTTTGGTGACAATTCTTGTGATGCTTTTGCAATCCAGGGCAGCTGCCATTGATTTTAAGTTGCACGGTTTTCAAAGACCTTTGTTTAAATGGACTTACAGCAGTCTTCATCTATGACATCTTACGGATTTTCATTTTTTTATAAATTTTGCATTCCCTCAGTCAAAAAATCTTCATTTTTCTTTGCCTATATACCTGCCCTTCTTCCTCAATGTATATTTCAATAACCACTAAGATTTCATGTATATCTTCCTGGATCCAGAGTTTTCTCATAAACATTTCACATAAATAAAACAATAATTGTAAAATGCTGCACATCAGGCAAAGCAGATGCTGCAAATGCAGTCACTGATGAAAACAAAAACCTAGAAGTTTCTTCCTGTTTGTTATACGTAAAATCCGCTTCATGACTGAAGAATAGTATCTGCTTCATGCAGCTTTCTTTCAGTGATGCCTTAGGAATATTTTTAAATATGGATACCTTCTGATAATCTTTAAGTCAGCTTGCTCAGTCAAGAGCAATATTTAAATGCATAGGTTGGTGTTTGACTATGTAAAATAGTAATTATTCTCTTTTGGAGTCTTGTGCATTGTGTGCAGAATGGATTTGGTGTTTAAGCTGATTGTGTAAAGCTAATTTACCAGGAAATCTCACCAAAATTCCCATTTTGATCCTACCAGTGCTTTCCTTCAGCATAAGCGAGTCTTCAGTAATTCTGCCCCATTTGTGCTGCTCTTTGGTTATTCTACTCTTGGGAGACTTCAGACAGCTAGACTAAAAAGCTAGTGAAAGCTTTTGTATAAAAGTAACTATGGCTTTTGGTTTTTATAGCTCATAAAGATATTCAGAAATTTTTGCTTTCTTTATGTCTTATTATTTGTTATTTTGGAAACCTTGGTTTTAAACTGAGCTGTCGTAAATAGGCTCAGCAGCCAGTAAATCCGTTGGGCCCTCCGCAGCCTAGAAAAACATCTGCCTGTTCTGCCGTGCTCAGAACAGGCTCCAGAGATTCCCCTGGCTCAGGCAAAATGAGAAAATGTACTTCTTTGACAAGATGAAGTAACCTACTTCATACAGCGTAATTCGCTTCCAATCAAGTCTCCTCCCATTCCTACTTTATCCTAGCCTCTATCTCATTTTGCAGCGGGATCTAAATACTCATTCACTTGCATTACTTATGTTTAATACGATCTTAAAGCTGCAGACCTGGATGCTGTCCTGGTGCCTGCGTATGAGTTGTTTGTGAGACAGAGACCTGAACTTCCTGTTATTTGTGACAGAACTGCTAAGATTGCATTTTTCTGTTTCACAAAAGCTGCTGATTAAAAAAAAAAAAAAGTATGATGTATAGTGACCAGGTATCATCACCCCAAATGTACTCCAAACTAATAATAAAAAAAAATTTAATCATTTACTGTTCAGATAGGCTGAGTAATAGTGTTTATATTTTGCTTTGGTTCTACATAGACAACTTGGAAAGGGAATAGCTCTTTTTTGTTAGGTTTTCTTTCTCATTTATTGGAAGAGTAATTATTTTCTGAATAAAGTTTTATTTGTATGCATTTTTTTAATTTGCTTTCTTGAACTTTGAATAAGAGGTGAGAATGGGAGGTATCAGTTTTCTGACTGGTGGGCAGGTCATTGCTGACAGCAAATACCTTTTTCTTAAAAACTACAGAAAAGAAAGCTTTGACTGTTCAGAACTATTATAATGTATTCAGTGCTCTTCACAGACTGGAAGTAATGAGTACGCCAAGTTACAAGTGCAGATTTCTAAGAATGGTTGGTACAAAATTATGTTGTTAACACTGGGTTGCAAGGTCTAAGAAAGGGTGCCTTTGGGGAATCCTGCTATAATAGACATTAAAAAAAAAAAGAAACAGACTTCTTTGTTTTAAACATAGCCCTCTTGTGAGTAGATTGCTGAGATAAAAGAGAAAGGTGACAAACTGAAGAATGAACTCTAGTGTTCTAGTAGGAAAATTCCACCTAGGCTCAATGAAGGTTTTTACTTAGTTTTTAAGCCTTAGTTAAATCATTTTCTATGACTAGCATTATTTCAGCAGTCAAGGAGCACAGTATCCTTTACTGCAGTTATGTGAACTCTGAAAGTCAATCCCTTGGACAGCTGAAGACGTCAAATAAATATGTAATCATGCAATCTGATTGAGTTCTAATGCTTGTGAGCAGATAGCTCAAGGGCTTAAGTAGTACTGCTATTCATCACAGGCTTATTTTTTATGTGATATGGGCTGTGTTGCTAATCAGACGCGGTATGTTTCTGTCTTTCAGATTTACCACTGGATTATAGATTTCCACGATTTTCCTCAAATAGCTCAGGAACTGCTGGGTACTACCCAAGCCCTCCAAGAGAGCTGCTGCCAAATGAGGAGTCATTGACTATGAAATAGGTTGTCGGCTTTTTTCTTAAATAACCCTGTGGTCCTTACTTAAACTGCTATCAAATGCTAATTGGTGAAAATGCTGTGTGATGCTTCTTAAAATAGAATGATGGATTAAAGCAGACTCCTGTGTAGACTTGTGTTTCACTTGTTGCTCACTGGAGCAGATGAGAAATGCATCCTTCTCTCTAAACCGTCTGACCACTACCTTTCACGAAACGTTTCTTCCATGCACTGCCCAAGGCCTTCAAGAGAAATGTAATGGTAATAACTCATCCCAAGTCACATTCTGCATTTTCGAGGACATTTTAATCACTGTCCCCATGTGATGCCATTGCTACCATAAACCCCAAGAAAGATATGAACCAGACCCCGGGCCATATTTCATTAAGAGTTGTCTTGGACTGCCCAGGTTATCACCATAGATTAGTGTTTTGCAGGCTCTGAGGAATTTATTCTCTCACTGTAACTGTTCTTGGAGATACAGAAAGACTGAGGCCCAAAGAGAAAGATACCATCATACCCAAAAAGAGACTTGAATGGGATTTAGACAACTAAATTTAGACAGAGTGTCCTGAAAGGCTTTGTCACATGCATTGTATTCCTGAAAGTGCCTAACCACTGCTCAACAGTAAGGTCCCCTACATACCTTTTCCTCCCTTAGTCCTCACTATGTCAAGAGTCAGAGTTTTTCTGCAGAAGGAGGGAAACCTGTGTACAGTTCCCTTCTCAGCTTGAGTGGATTCACACTCACATTCTCCACCTTCCTGGGAAATTCTTCCGAGAGTAGGAAGGGTATGTCATCCAGCTGTATAGAACCATCTTTGCTAAGTACAGCCTCAGCCCAGAAGAGAAGCAAGACTGAAGACAAAAACTGAATATGTGCTTTCTTATCGGCCAATTTAAGCAAACAGGCATCCTGTTCCCTGCAGCTTCAGTTCCAAAGCCCCATTCTCTAGTGCGCTGGACAGGAAGCCTTTGGTAACTAATGCAGGGTAGCACATGCAAAGAATAGGGTGAAGATACTTGTTTAGTCAGCAGTTTTAGCACACTAGGATGGTAGAATTTTGGGTAAATTTCCCTCAAAGTTTGAAGAACAATACAGAGAAACTGTTTTCTTGTTTTCAAGAACAAGAATTTCCTTTCTTAGGCCTGGACTGTTATCAGAATGAATTTATGTTAGCACTTAAGTTGTGTCCCACATCTCGTTCTATATTTTTGCAGCTTCCCCTGTTAAAATATTTTGTGTCAGAACTGGACACAAACACCATTCCACCTCATTTCAGAGATACCAGCTTTTGTCTCCATACTTTTTTCCTTCCTTTACATAGGATGTTATCTTTACATTCTTGTGGTCCAATATACTTAGAAGTAATATGCAACATTTCCACTGTAACATTAAGCATTGCTTCTTGAAAGGGAAACATAAAACAAATAAGAAAATAAATTTAGGAAAATTTTCCTTAAACAAGATGGGTGAGGAAGTAAAATTAAAGTGCCATTCTCCTCTTCATAAACTACAGGCTGAAGATATTTGACTTAAGAAGGAAACAATAAGTAATATTTGAGTTTATGATGAAATTTTTGCATTAGCATTAGTGTCTTGGGTAGGAAATCTTAGAAATCCATAGAATGGCTTAGGCTGGAAGGGACCTTAGAGATCATTTAATGCAGCCTCACTGTCATGGGCAGGGACACCTCTCAACTAGATCAGGCAACACATGGGGACCGAACGGGGATCGAACCCACGGCCTTGGTGTTACCAGCACCACACTCTAACCGACTGAGCTAACCGGCCCCCCATGATAAGGTTATGATTTGTATTAAGCAGAGAAATACCCAGATTTAAATCCTAGATCTCTCATTACAGCATCATTTGAAATTCTAACCTGAATGAAGTAATCCTCTGCCAATAATTTCTGACTAGGATATGGTCCAAACAAATACTGTGTAGGCTCACGCTTTTGTTGTTCTGAATTTGGAACAGATTTTTGTAGATTAGGCATTTTATCTTGGTTTTTAAAGAAAATCAACTAACATTGAATTGTTAATGAAAATTAGAGTGAAAATTTTTTAAGGAAGACCTTGGTTCCTGGAGAAGCAATGTGCTTTTTTAAATGAAAGGCTACAGATTCTAAGGACTGCCTGAACACAGAGCTCACCAGAAGGAATATGTATATGGACTTGCTCAACTGGGAGGTGATGGTACCGGTTTCTGACAAAGGCTTTCACCAGCCACGTGCACTTGCTGATGGAAGGACCCCACAGAAGCAGAGAAAGAAGTGGGGAACAGAAGGCCACTGTCAGCATGACTCCATATGCCACCACAGTCTGTGGCTGCAGGAAGACTTAGGAAAAATAATGGAATTGTTTTCATAAAAACTAGAATTCCTGTGGAATCAGGAGTTAAGAACTCTTACTAAAGACTCTTCCTATTCAAGAATCTCTGAAAGTTATTATACAGGTCTTACTACAAAGCAGAGGTTGGCAGTGAAGGGCAGTCGGTGCTGTGGTGATGGGAGAGATCTTGGTGTGAAGACCGGGAGAAGAAATGGAAACAGCAGAAAATTGGTAGAGAGTTGGCCACAATTAATGTAAAGTCACCATCTTTCCTTCTTTCTTTTTCTACTTTTTCTATTTAATGCCTGGAAATCTCTGAAATTTCTTGGGTTCCGTTGTAAGAGGTCATTGACGGTAAAGTGCCTGCAAACTATCTTGAGTATCGGCAGGGAGACATAAAGTTGTAAAGTTCATTAAAATCACTGTGTCTGCTTATATAGCCCTGAAAGCCACAGTTTTGCTTAAAATCAAAGATAAATACCAAGTCTCTTGGCATCTGTTTTGGAATAAAGCACATGTGTCTGAATTTAAAATAAAGAGAATTTATTTCTGAAAAAATACATGTTTTCTGAATTTACTTTGTAGCCAAGCGGCAAAAAGAAAAAAGGGAGACGAGGTCACCATGAAGCAGTGCGAGGAGAGGTTTGTGCCTCAAACAAAGCAAAACTTGACCCACTCGCAATGAAAGATACATAAATCAACCAAAAACTGGTATAAATTAATACCTTTAATAAATGAACACCTTTAATACCTATATGGAAGTCAGCTTTGATGCAAAGCAGAGTTCACTGCAATCATTTCTGGAATAGTGCTCATTCCTGAAAACCAAAGGCTTCTTAATCTCCAGTGAATAAAAGTTAAAGTAAGTGCAGAATTCTTATCCGTGGTAGATATGGGGCACTGCTGGACACAGACCTTTCTGAGGATGATGCCTTGCCAGGCTTCTGGGGGAGCTCCAGCTCATCTGAGCTCCAGGTGTGTGATAGCACAGCAGCGCTGGAGCGATTCCTAAGGGAATTCCCAGGAAAGTTTGTGTAATGATAGACACTAGGAACCAGTGCTCCCCAGACTGGTTTAAGTATGCATAAGTAGCAAACAGCCCTTGTCCAGCCTGGTGTGACAGCCTACTGAGGGATAAAAAAATCTCTTAAGACAGGGATGCAGTATCATGACAAGGCAGGTCCATACACAGGTGTTCAATGGGCAGAGCTGTTTGGGATGCAGAAGGGCTCCAGGCAGGGTGGCTGGACTGGCCGTCAAGTGTCCTAAGGCTTGAGACACTGTAACCACTGATCTCCCCTGCAATGACCTGTAACGCTCCAAACATTATCTGCTTTCAAATAGATAACCTTTAGCCCTGCCCACGTTGCCTAGCATGATGTCTTACAGCAGCATTTGGCTATAACAGCTGAAAATAATAAGACCGTTTCGCTATAGCAAGATCAAACCCTGCCTGCTATGTCCTCCTAGGACACATTCTGCCAGTAGTTGTAGAGGCTTTAGGGTTTTTAACAATGTTTTTGACAAATATGTTAGAAACTGAAGAAATGTAACATACCACACTGTCAAGCTAGACATCACTTATCGGTTGCTCTATTGTAAAATAGGATGCAGAAAAACATCTATGGCACACGATACTCAACACTGATCTTTGTTTGAGGGAAAGTAAATATAAATAGGCATAGCTCCAAGTCACTGGCCCTAGCACACTCTTGATCAGGTCTGGCTACAACCAGGTTGCAAAGCCTCAGTAGAGGCTGGCTTATCAAGAGACTGCTCTAATTCAAAACTGTTCACTTGTGTTTTCACAGAATCACAGAATTGTTGAGGCTGGAAAATACCTCTGAGATCATCAAGTCCAGCCTAATTCCCAACATCACCACATCAGCCAGATCAGGGCACTAAGTGCCACATCCAGCCTCTCCTTAGACACCTCCAGGGACGGTGACTCCACCACTTCCCTGGGCAGTGCATCCCAGTGCCTGAGCACCCTCTCTGTGAGGAAGTGCTGCCTGAGATCCAACCTAAACCTGCCCTGACGCAGTTTCAGGCCTTGCCCTCTCGTCCTGTCACGAGTTGCCTGGGAGAAGAGCCGGGCAGTTGTAGAGAGTGATGAGGTCCCCCCTGAGTCTCCTCTTCTCCAGGCTAAACACCCCCAGCTCCCTCAGCCTCTCCTCACAGGACTTTCCCTTCAGTCCCTTCCCCAGCCTCGTTGCTCTCCTCTGGACCCGCTCCAGCCCCTCAGTGTCTTTCTTGCAGTGAGGGGCCCAGCCCTGCACACAGGGCTCTAGGGGAGGCCTCACCAGTGCTGAGCACAGGGGCAGAATCACATCCCTGCTCCTGCTGGCCACACTGTTCCTGACACAAGCCAGGATGCCATTGGCCTTCAGGCCACCTGGACACACTGCTGGCTCATGTTCAACCAGTTGTCACCCAGCACTCCCAGGTCCCTCTCTGCTGGGCCACTCTTCATTCACTCCTCTCCCATTCTGTAGCACTGCAGGGAGTTATTGTGGCCAGTCATTCTCCTATAGAAACCTTAATGTTTTTCTTTCCAGGCGTCCTAATCCAACCTGAGAGAGGAGTGGAGTATGGCCATCACTTACTGCCCCAGCAAAATGAATGGTTTCCAACCCAGCCTTGGAGAGCTTCTTTTTCCTATAGATGCA